CTCCTGCTGGGACTCTGAGGAGCACTGGGACTGGCCTCCTGCTGGGACTCTGAGGAGCACAGGGACTGGACTCCTGCTGGGACTCTGAGGAGCACTGGGACTGGCCTCCTGCTGGGACTCTGAGGAGCACAGGGACTGGACTCCTGCTGGGACTCTGAGGAGCACTGGGACTGGCCTCCTGCTGGGACTCTGAGGAGCACTGGGACTGGCCTCCTGCTGGGACTCTGAGGAGCACAGGGACTGGCCTCATGCTGGGACTCTGAGGAGCACAGGGACTGGCCTCCTGCAAGTCCCAGAATCAGACCTAAATATGGGGAGGCATTTTGTTGAAGAACAAGAAAACACCAAATAAACTTTTTAACTCGTAAACTGCTTATGTTTCTTTTTGTGCTCTCTACATATCCTGGTAATATTTTGTTTTTTAACATTTTTTTGAAAACTAGATAAAATCTCACTTTTGAGCCTCAAACCGTCTGTGTGGCGCCCTCTCTACATTTTCGGTGGCACTACATTCTAATTTTGTGGAACATTCTCTCTTCTACTCTTTCCGCCGGACGCTGGTGCAGCAACCAATCACAGAGGACGCACACTGCTAACAAATTGGTTCTTGTTAATGCTAGTTATACAAGGGGAACTTCAGTGCATTATCTGACTAGTGGATGATTTGTTGCAGTCGACCTTTGCAAGAAGAGGTGGAGGTCGTTGAGAGACACCTGTATGAAAAGGAGGAAGGACATGCAGAGAAGTGGGTCTGCAGCAGGGACAGGGACTAAACAGAGGTACGCCAGCGCCCTGACCTTCCTTGACCCCCAATTAAAATCTAACAAAGGTTAGAAATCTTAATTAAAGCAATTATTTCTAGTTTTTTTATATGCCAAGCCATTTCTTCTTACAAAGCCGTCTTTGTGTAAGAGCTTTTCACTTGTTTTAAGAAGTATTTATTGCGTGGTGTACTGGACTGTAGGGTTTAATCCCGAGACACGGGATTCCCGGGAAATCTGATCAAAACTATTTCCCGATTCCCGGGAAATGTTATGACGGGAACCGGGAAATTAAAGTTAAAAAAAAAATCCAGTGCGCTCCAATTATAGAGCACGTTTATTGTTGTTCAAAGTTGAAACATATTTCATTTACAATCAACATGTCTACAGCTGAGAGGATGGCTCATAAATTGTGTTTTTGACAACAAATATGGGTCTTAATCGCGCTAAACCACGACTTGTAATGAGGCCAGCCTCAGGGTACGGGGCACATGAGAGCCCAGAATTTGGCTACGTCCAATTCTATCAGAAAGCTCCTTTCTTTTTTTTCCATCTGCTAAGGGCAGCAACAGGTTTGGCTAACATACATATAACACATTTTAAGATCATATAAAATGCATTTAGGGTAATGTTCTGCTTCCAGTGACGATAGGAATGATAAGGAAGAGAGGAGAAGGGTAAGAAGGTTGATATTAGAAATTGGATGCGCCCGAGAGCCGGCTGCAGCGAACACACGGAGGAGTTTATGGAGGTGGCACCCGTTTTGTTTTACGCTTTAAAACTCTTTGGGCTTATTTCCAAATGGGGGATTACATATCTGCGCTCAAACTATTATCTGGACTTAAACATGAAACTGGTCTGAACTGAAGTGGACTAGACTGACTGCGCCCTCTGCTGGTGTGGGGTGTACTGGACTGACTGCGCCCTCTGCTGGTGTGGGGTGTACTGGACTGACTCCGCCCTCTGCTGGTGTGGGGTGTACTGGACTGACTGCGCCCTCTGCTGGTGTGGGGTGCACTGGACTGACTGCGCCCTCTGCTGGTGTGTGGCTGCAGGATAAGTGGATCCCATGTTTGGGAGAGTTGGAATGTGCCCTCGTCCCGATTCATAGTGTCAGCACCACGTTTTACATACTACACACATTGCCATAGAAGCCACAGGGGTCAAAGAACTAAAAAAAAAGTAGTGGCTTATAGTCTGGTGATAACGGTGAGTTCAAAATGCTTTTTCACCTTCTCTTTGGAGGGAGAGGGGAACCTTCCTATCTCAGGTTGAGCTTCAGCAAATATCCTCCGATCAGTAAAAGATTCGTTGCTCTTCATTCGGATGTGGTTCTATCTGATGAGTTTGTGTGTGTGTTGCTTTATCCATAGAACCCAGACACACAAACATCTGTGCTGTTTTTGCAAAGTAGCATCAATTACCACAAAAAAGGCAAATAACATCTGCATTAGACAAATAAATTATATTGAGCCACTGTATCGCTCTATGTTTTGTTGCCGCTTCACCATGTTTTGTTTGTACTAATCACTGTCACTTTAAAATATGTATTTTTCACTTTTGTATGTCCATTTCCTGTATTTTCTGGTGTATCTCGCGGGGAGAGGCGGCGAGCTGGGGTGGCCATACTCATTGCCCCCCATCTCAGCCGCCACGTGTTGGAGTTCTCCCCGGTGAATGAGAGGGTCGCGTCCCTCTGCCTTCGGGTGGGGGACAAGTCTCTCACTGTTGTGACGGCCTACGGGCCTAACAGCAGTGCAGAGTACTCGGCCTTCTTGGAGTCCTTGGGAGGGGTACTGGACAGTGCACCGTCCGGGGACTCCGTCATTCTCCTGGGGGACTTTAACGCCCATGTGGGAAGCGCCAGTGACACTTGGAGAGGGGTGATCGGGAAGAACGGCCCCCCTGATCTGAACCCGAGCGGTGTTCAGTTGTTGGACTTCTGTGCTAGTCACGGTTTGTCCATCACGAACACCATGTTTGAGCACAAGGGTGTCCACCAGTGCACCAGGACACCCTAGGCCGGAGGTCGATGATCGACTTTGTTGTCGTATCATCTGACCTTCGGCCGCGTGTTTCGGACACTCTGGTAAAGAGAGGGGCAGAGCTGTCAACCGATCACCACCTGGTCGTGAGTTGGATCCGCTGGCAGGGGAAGAAGCCGGTCAGACCTGGCAGACCCAAGCGTGTAGTGAGGGTTTGCTGGGAACGTCTCGCTGAGACCCCTGTCAGACGGACTTTCAACTCACACCTCCGGGAGAGCTTCTCCCAGGTCCCGGCGGAGGAGGGGGATATTGAGTCTGAGTGGACCATGTTCTCTTCCTCTATCGCCGATGCGGCGGCTCGTAGCTGTGGTCGCAAGGTCTCTGGTGCTGGTCCCGGCGGCAACCCCCGAACCTGGTGGTGGACACCGGCAGTAAGGGATGCCGTCAGGCTGAAGAAGGAGTCCTATCGAGCCATGATGGTTCGGGGGACTCCTGAGGCAGCTGTCCAGTACCGGCAGGCCAAGCGTGCCGCGGCCCGGGCTGTTGCAGAGGCAAAAACCCGGGACTGGGAGGAGTTCGGAGAGTCCATGGAGCATGACTATCGGTCGGCCTCGAAGAGATTCTGGCAAACTGTCCGGCGCCTCAGGAGGGGGAAGCAGTTCTTTGCCAACACCGTGTACGGTGCGGGGGGTGAGCTGCTGACCTCGACCGGGGATATTGTCGGACGGTGGAAGGAATACTTCGAGGTTCTCTTCAATCCCCCCGTCACGTCCTCCGCTCCGGAGGCAGAGGCTGAGGATGTTGGGGCGGATACTTCTGTCACCCTGGCAGAGGTCACCAAGGTGGTTGGCAGCCTCCTTGGTGGCAAGGCGCCGGGAGTGGATTAGATCCGTCCTGACTATCTAAAGTCTCTGGATGTTGTAGGACTGTCTTGGCTGACACGTCTCTGCAACATCGCGTGGCGATCGGGGGCGGTGCCAATGGAGTGGCAGACCGGGGTGGTGGTTCCTCTCTACAAGAAGGGGGACCGGAGGGTGTGTTCCAATTATCGTGGGATCACACTCCTCAGCCTCCCTGGTAAGGTTTACTCCAAGGTACTGGAGAGGAGGTTACGGCCGATGGTCGAATCTCGGATTCAGGAGGAGCAGTGTGGTTTTCGTCCCGGCCGTGGAACACTGGACCAGCTCTACACTCTCCATCGGATACTCGAGGGTTCATGGGAGTTCGCCCAACCTGTCCACATGTGCTTTGTGGATTTGGAGAAGGCGTTCGACCGTGTTCCCCGGGGTGTCCTTTGGGGGGTCCTCCGTGAGTACGGGGTCCGGGGTCCTCTGCTGAGGGCCGTCCGGTCCCTGTATGACCCTCCCTCACCTATGGTCATGAGCTTTGGGTAATGACCGAAAGAACAAGATCGCGGATACAAGCGGTCGAAATGAGCTTCCTCCGCAGAGTGGCTGGGCGCTCCCTTAGAGATAGGGTGAGGAGCTCAGTCACACGGGAGGAGCTCGGAGTAGAGCCGCTGCTACTCCACGTCGAGAGGAACCAGTTCAGGTGGCTCGGGCATCTGTTCCGGATGCCTCCTGGACGCCTCCCTGGGGAGGTGTTCCGGGCACGTCCCACCGGGAGGAGGCCCCGGGGAAGACCCAGGACACGCTGGAGGGACTATGTCTCTCAGCTGGCCTGGGAACGCCTTGGAGTCCCCCCGGACGAGCTGGAGGAGGTGTGTGTGGATAGGGAAGTCTGGGCGTCTCTGCTTAGACTGCTGCCCCCGCGACCCGGCAACGGATGAAGCGGAAGAAAATGGATGGATGGATGGACGTCTATTTTCACTTCATAAAGAGAAAAAACAAGTAAAACAGTTACAAAATAATTGATAACAAACAAAGGCTTGAAAAAAAAGGTAATAATTGCTCAAATAAGTTATTATAAGTACATTATTCTGTTTTAAGGCAGATAGAATGTGCTCAAACTAAGACACACTTTATCCAAATTTGCAGTGTATCTCTTCAGCAAATATCCGAAAATCAGCAAAACCAAGCTAGATTTACATAACAAACAATGTTATAATGACATTGTTGTGTGCAAATGTGTTATAACTCACTCATAACAAGGAGCATCAATAATTAGGAGGTACTTGAGGCCGAGCGGAGACAGAGCAAACCCTCAAAACCCACACAGAGTCATCGATCCACAAATCCTTTTAACACACACGCTCGGACTCAGAGCGAGAGAGGCCCCGCGGCGAGGATCAAAGATGGCCGCCACATTAAACAGCAGTATTAGGAGAGGGAGGAGGCAGTCGCAAAGGTGGGCTCCTCGCACAGCGGGACACGGAACACCGCTGCCCACAGGAAAGTTTCAGTCGGAAAACTTTGGAATACAAGATGAAAAGGGAAAGGTAGGTTTTGGCTTCGGGAAGAGTTCTGGAAGTGTGTGTTTTCTAAGGATGGGCTGACAAGACCAATGTAGAGCAGGGGTCTCCAACCTTTTTCCACTGGGGAGAGTCACTTTTAGAAGAGAGAACAGGCAGAGAGCTACTCCCTTGACTTCATAATGAAATTGAACAGCTTCTTCTTGCATTTTGTCCAAATAAGGTAAACATTTATAGCAATTTGAAGTGATTTAAAATGGATATGGCAACATGTGTTAAACTGAATCCTTTGGGGAGCTACCTTAAAGGGGGTGGTGAGCTACTGGTGGCTCCCAAACAATAGGTTGGAGACCCCTGATGTAGAGTCTATGTTTTATCTTGTGTTTTCATGAAGGGGTCTGGGGTCTGTGTGTAGTGTGATTACTTCCAGTACTTCCGGTTCTCACAAACAGCAGTGACTCAATTATACAATAGATAAAATGGAGTATACTTGGATATTTTATGGCTTTAGTTTTAACACTGCGTGAGTTGTTTGGTCCTTTTTATTCTATTTTGTTTACACGATGCAAGACTTTATTTGCCATTCGCAGTAAAACCACATTGGAAAAACTGTGCAAGACTAACCCCAGTGTGCACCAGAGAAGACGGCACACACCAGAGCTCTAGTCATGTATTATTGTTATTTTTATATTTAAACTCATATTTACACACACTTATTATATGTTTTCATACAGTACATACAAACACAGTTGATCCAATTATATTTTTATTGATTTTACTGTTTAACTATAGATTTCTCCTGGTTAGTGTTTTATTGTGCAACACTTTGGAGACTGTCCATGAAAAATGCTGTATAAATAAGCTGGATAAAGACAATGCAATCTTTTTAATACAATAAAGATCTAAAGCAGTGGGACATACCAACCGGGTCGCCAAGGACAGAATTCATTATTTCCGTGTTTATTGTCTGAGTTTAAAGGACAACTCACCCTCAAATCCACTTTTTTTTGCTGATAAACTGTATAAATGAGTGTCCAATAGTGTTGTCTACATATCCTGGTCATATTTTTGTCACTTTGGTGCAAATTAGTTGAAAGTTAAACTTTCTGCCTAAAACCGTCTGTGAGGCGCCATCTGCTGGCGACCTGTATTACTACATTTCAATTTTGAATCTGGCGCCGACACTGGCGCGGCAGCAAGACCTGACGTCTGAAGCAAGACCTGACGTCTGAAGCAAGACCTGACGTCAGCAGCCCCCCGCCCAGAGAAATGTAAACGGCCCAGTCTCGTTCACGCCCCCTTTAGTCCTCCAGGCCACGCCCATTTAGAGGAAGATTTGAACAGGAAATGTGAGTGACGTAAGCTCCGAGGAGCGGGGGTGAGAACCACTTTAAGTGATCTTTAATATTGAATAATGACCGGATTTTCTCCCTACACTTTGGTCATGTGACACGTGAGGAAAAAATAAAAGTCCAGATGAAAAACTCACAATGCAAAAGGATCCAGAAACGGATACAGGACATGAACGGACCTGGACAACACAATGGACCAGCAACAATGGGAGAGGAGCACAGGTACATGTAGACGCAGGTACATGTAGACGCAGGTACATGTAGACGCAGGTACATGTAGACGCAGGTACATGTAGACGCAGGTACATGTAGACACAGACACAGGTGAAACACATCAGGGCGGGGCCGACAATCAACGGGAACAGGAAGTCAAACTGAAACACAGGAAAAATAACACAAAATCCACACCATGCTTTACTTTTGAATGTGCTGTAAGTCCTAAGTGTCTCTGAAACAGTCGTTTTTTTGTGTTTTGTAACTTTGAGATTTCTTGCTTTTTCTGCCTGAGATGTTGCTGCAGTTTAGTGTTCATGGTTTTACACTGGTCCAGACCAGAGCAGAGAGGATTCATGGTTTTACACTGGTCCAGACCAGACCAGAGCACAGAGGATTCATGGTTTTACACTGGTCCAGACCAGAGCACAGAGGATTCATGGTTTTACACTGGTCCAGACCAGAGCACAGAGGATTCATGGTCCAAACCAAGGGGATTAGGTGAAAAACTCCAGGCAAAAATGCTAATGAAACATTTAGCATTATACTTTGAAACAGAGCAGAGAAAATGGTCAGAACCAAGCAGCTACTCCACCTTTTGACCTGTCCTGCTCCACCCAGAGGCTACTCCACCTCTGCTGCTGTGACCTGAGGCTGTTGCTGATTATTACGATTGTTAGCTTTTTAGAATGATCCATTTTATGTTTTATTTTTGCTGCTACTGGACACCTGAATTTCTCCGATCAATAAAGTATCTATCTATGACATTTGCGACATTTAGACATGGGTCGAGCTCAGAGCAGATTCTGAAGTCTTTATAAAGGCCGGGCTTATCAACTAAATATATATTTTATCAGTATTTGTCCGTCTGAAGCGGGACTCCAGTTGTCATTATTTAGACCTTTTCCCCGCTGTAAATCTCTCCAGTGTGAGATCAATAAAGTCTGTCTTATCTTGAAGTCTTTGGGTCTCATTTGCGGTCTGCTGTCCGAGCTCTGGACCGGGTTCCAGGCCCACGTCAGGAGGTCCGAGTGACAGATGTGGACCCAGCGTCTGCTCCCTCTCCAGAGACCCACCACCGTATGATGCGACATCACAAGTGCACTTTGAGGTCCGTGTGTGGGACGGATGAGAGGACGCCACCAGCTTTTGTTTGCAGCTCATAGACGTCAAGTGCGATGCATTGTTTGTGTTATTTTTAAACAGGATCTCGACAATATTTACTTCAACATTTTGTAATTTTTATTTCTAGGCAAGGCGAGTGTATTTGTATTGCACAATTCATACACAAAGTGCGCAAAGTGCTTAACGAAACAATATGTAAGATTTTTATGTCAAGTCATCATTAAAGGGCCCTAATCTGTCCAAAGGCATTAATAAAACTTATTTATTATTTTCCAATAATTCTTTAAATAATAACTGTAGCCCAGAGATATTTCTAAATTACTTTTCCAGCCCCTAAATCTTGTTATTGTTTTCATTTCGATGTCCCGCCCTCCACGGTTTCACCAATCAGAAAGTCTGTGATCCGAGCGCTACAACTCACCGCATGGAGCTAATCTCACTGGTAAAGTACCATGTGGCGCAGAACTAAAGGTCTCGTTATGATTCTCAAATCATTAACGACAAAACAAGGAATAAAACCAGGATTTCTATCTTTGTGAAAAAGGTGTTGGTTATAGATTTGTTGTTGACAAAACACTTGTCTATTCAGCTGTTATGGTCCCAGCTGGATTCATCTGCATATCTGGCAACCTGAGTCAGGGAGAGTGGGAGAGGCTGCAGTACCACTTTTGGCCACATTTTTACATAGTATCCTTTTTAACAAAACAAGATTGTCAAACAAGAGGCCTGTCTCACATTTCCTATGAAGACTTGACCCAGATTTTAGCTGCATGAATCTGAAATGCAGCTTCCACATGTTTAGTTCTGCCTCTGGGACCAGCAGGAGGCCAGTCCCTGTGCTCCTTCAGGAACCCGGTGCAGAGACCTGAGAACTGGTCTAATGTGATGGTACTTCCTGGCTCTCGATACATAGGTACTTATTAATCCCACAAAAGTGACTCAAAAACAGACCCAAAGTCAAGAGGAGGCAGTTTTGAAGTTTTAATAATCCAGGAGAAAACACAGAAAACAGGCTAGACTCAGAAAAACAAGGAAACACCACAATCTGACAAATGAGGCAAGGAGCACACAAACTAAACTACACAAGGACACAGGTGAGGGCGGGGCAGTCATCGACGACAGAAAGTAAATCTGGGACAAGAACAAGTAAGAGTGATTAGAAAATAAAACACAGGATAGAACATGACCTGACAGCAAGGGGAAGTTCAGGTTCCATAGCAGCTGATTCAGACTAAACAGATATGAACACAAATTGTAAAATCCAATCCAACACATGACCCAGGGTAAGTGTATATCAGCCGACAGCAGATCACTTACAGCTTGTGAGGTCCTCAGCCGGACGTCCTTGGGCAGGATGGTCGTCCCCTTGCAGGCCCCGCCCACAGGTAGCCGGGTATCTGCTAAACCAGATATTTGTCTTTGTTTGCACCTGTCATCCACAAGAAAAGTGGAGATTTTTGAAAACTGTTTATGCATTGTGGTGGACAGAAATAAGAACAACAAACAAAATGTGTGACCTCTGATCACTGACGAAGCATGGATCTTACTGCCTTAAAAACTGTTCCTCCTCCACATCAGAGAGCAGCAAAGTGATCACGGGGACTCACGCTCGAAAACATCCAAAACAGGAGCTAAACCAGGACTAAACCAGGTCTAAAACAGGGCTGAGGACAGGGGTCAGTGCTTGTGAACATATGTCTTTACCCTGAGTTTCTACTATGACTGTAAAAGTTATAGATCCATGGTAAAAGTGCAGCTACAGACTGCATCAAAGCTCCGCCCACTTCTGTGTTTTTCCCCAAAGCAGGACGTCAGAGACGCACATGTTTGGAATGTTATGAATGTGATTGAAAACGCAGATGTTCGGTTATGTGTGGATGCAAATTATTTTATAAACGGAGAGGGGGAAATATTCGGTTTTAAAAATACCCGGCTCCGTGTGGACATGGCAGCATTCATTCACACAGCAGCAGAACCACACAAATCAGTTTGGCACCGATTTTGTCAATTGGCGAGGTGCAAAAGTTCTGCCAAAGAGACTTGTAGATATTGATCGAAGCAGTGTGCGCGTGAAGAAGTGGTTATTTCTACTATTTCTATATATGACACATGCAAAGTGAGATATAGCAAGGTTTTTTTTTTTAAACATGTTAATAACAGCTTGCAAAAACTTGAATTAAACAGACTAGAAAAACAGAATGTTTTTGAAAATAAACTGTACCCCTAATAATCATCATTATAACAATATGAGGTAATAAAAAATTTGTCCCCAATGGCAAATCTTTGAATTCAGATACATTTGTCAAATTTTAGCATCAATCCTTTTTCTTCCACTCAATCCATTTCTGGGTCGGGGGTGGTGGCAGTCAGAGCTGCACCCAGTACACATTAGCACCAGCTTCAGGCAAAGTGGGGTTAAAGGCGCTATACCCGTTTCTGCAATGTTTGAATGTTTAGCACCGCCCCCCAACTCGCTCAATGGCTTCTCATTTCCCCTACGCTCTCATCCCACGGAGCCACCTAGTTTTATTTGTGATCTGATATGTATGTTAACATTAGCATTTGCACAAGTTCTTGTAAGCAGTACATCACTGATGAAATGGTACAGAAGCAATGCACTGCTAATACAATATATAAGTAAAAGAATACTGCTAGTTTCGTGTCCAAATGTATTCATTTAAACATTAGAATATATTCTAATATTTAATTATAATTTATTATACAGCTCCTCACAGCAGCAGTAGAACACTCCATTGACGTGAATGTAATTCTTCCGATCATTTTTTCTTGATAACAGAACTCTCAAATCAATAATGACCTCTGCCCTTTGACAATGCAATCTCTGTTTGTAATTCAGGTGTGTAAAATACTGTCATTGCTCCGCAAGTACAACAAGCCTTCAGCGCCTGTCACTACATCGTGCAGTTTTTCTGCACACTTGTCTGTGTAGAGAAGCTAGCGGAGCTAGCCACGCTCAATAAACAAATACATATCAATCAGTCAACACCATTAAACGTTAATCAGACAATACAGTACACATATACATCCTTAACACACATGCACAGAATTTGCTGTCAACGTTTTCATGACAAAAATACTGTTTTAACGTGACAAAAAGCGATCGCGAAAAACCCGGAAGTTACCATGAAACAGCTAGCTAGCTTAGCTGTTACCTGCCTAGCACGTCCTGGTGAAACTTTTGTGAGCTAACTATTTTATTTGCAGTCATTAAATACATTTCGAATTATAAGGGCTGTCTAATATTTGTTCGAATATATATATTTTTTTTATTTTAGAATTATATTCGAATTTTGAAGTCGAAGCCCTGGTGTTTAGCAGCGCTGTAGAGGCTAGAGGACACAGGCTGTTCACTGCTCGTTCTGTGAGCGGAGGAGAACGAGCGGCCCGCTCAGACTCTACTCAGCACTTTTCACTGCTTGTAATTCTTACACAGCTGAATCAATTACCTCAAGTTTTCAATTAAATGATGTATTATGATACAACTTGTATGTAGTAAAAAGCATTTTTATGAACTACTTAGAAAAAAAATTGGGTATAGCTTCTTTAAGTGTCTTGCCCAAGGACACAATAAAAGCAGACATCAGTGGGAGTCGTGAAGTAGGTCTTGCAAAGGGCTCGAACCCACAATGCTCTTCCAACTGAGCCACTGTCGCCAAATTTTACCAATGTTTTCCTTATTTTACATCCCATTTTGCAGTGAACCTCTTGCATATTTCCTTAGTATTCCTCGACTGTATCCATCCATGTGACTTCTTAAAGCCTGGTGCTAGACGTCGTCCAATCAGAAAATAACAGACAGACATACGTCCATCTGAGAGGTCACAGAGATTAGCCAAATTCATGGGAAGAGGAAAACCAGGCAGTCCTTCCACAGGACAAGTAAAGAAAGTGAAAAGCAGCTTTGCCCAAACCATTCTTTCACACATCTGTATATGTCATTACACAGCCTGTTTTCCAACGACAGCTTTTGAAATCGATTTTTTTTTTGAGGGGAAACTGTTGAAGCATCACTGTAATTGCCTTTTCTTTATACTTGCAGACACACTTCAAAAGCAAAAGAATATACAAAAAAAGCATTTACTGGGGCAGCTGTCAGTCGCTCATTTCCTGTCTTTATTTGCCGGTAATTCTGAGGCGCAGATAAAAATGGAACAAAAGTGTATCGGACAAAAGCTGGTGCCGTGTGGACGTGTGTGTGTTTGTGAGGGCCCCATGCGGAGAGGGCCGCGGCTCCGTGTCCCAGGCATTGATTGCAGTATTGAACCAATCAAGCAGGTGATGGAGGGGAACAGCCGGTCCAGGGCCACGCTGATTAAAAATGCTACTTTGGTAAAAAAAAACAAGTCGTTATTTTACTGTTATTTAACATTCGGAGTCTCACAAATGAAGCTAGAAGAAGAAGGTCTTTTATTAGTCCCACGATCGGGATATTTCAGTTTGATGCTTACACATTGACCCCTTGCATTTGACGTCCTGGCCACGCCCCCTCTCCATGACAGACGACAGAAGTCTAACTGCGAGTCTATGGAAACCTGACCAAAACAACCTGTTTCATTGAATAACAGCCAAAACTGTGATATTTAGCAGTGCGGTTGGTTGTACTAACAGGCAAGGACTTAAGACAAATGTGTCTTTTCATCTGATACCTGCTCGTTATGAAGACAGAAGACGACGATGGCGGCAATCAACCAAAAGGACTGGGAGCTATCCAAGCACACTTTGGATATTCTAAAATTCTAAATCAATCAGAATTTTCTTTCCATTGATTTATTTGGAGGACCATGACACAACAAACGCTTGAAGTCAAACATGTCTCTGTCCTGTATGTGCGCTGCAAGAGTGAAATTTCCTCACTGTGGCACAAATAAAAGATCTCTTATCTTAGACGTCAGTTACGTTTTTTCACTATTTTCCTCTCCATCAATATGTTTCATGTTTGGCTGTAGGCAGAAAAGTGCATTGCTATTGTGCTAATGCTACCAGCAAACTTTACATTTAAATCTGCTCCAGTGTGAGGGGA